GGCCCGCCCCTCCCGCCCGCAGAAGCCCCGACCCCTCGGGCCAGCCGCCTCCGGCTCCGCTCCGCTCCGCCTCCTTCCTCCGCCTCCACGTCCGGAGTCGCCGGCTCCCAGGTCGCTAGGTCCGGGGGGCAGACGCACAACTTACCCGCCGCGCTGAGATTTACGTCGCGGACCTCGTCACTGCTGACGGACGCGAGGAGGTGGAGACGCCGAGCCGGACCCGCCGCTCAGGAGCGGCGCCGGCGTCGGCCCCACGTAGTCCCCACGTCAGCGCTGATGCGGCAGCCGCGGCCTCTCCGACGAGCAGGGACGAAATGTAGCGCGCCAGGCGACGGAACCGCGTCCTCGCGCCCAGCCCCTCCCCCACTCCGCGACGGCCCGGCCGGGGAACGCCCGCCCGAAAACGCCAAACTCTAACTCCGCCCCCTGCCGGCCGCCAGCGGGATTGCGCCGCCGACAATCCAACAATGAAATGGAACGGGTGTGCGGACGAGGGGGAGGGGTTACGCGGGGGCGGGGCGGTGGGGAAGCCCGGCCTGGGGGCGGGGGTTAAGGGGCGGGGCTGGAAGCCGGAAACGTCCCCGGCCTCGCGTACTTCCGGAGTGCCAATGGTTTAGTCAAGGCTAACGGCCTTCGTCCGTCCGGGTCTTTCCCTGCGGGCTCCCTATTGCAGTGCCCTCCCCAAGGCCAGGTCCGCCCGCGTCACGGTTCTACCTTGGCCCAGAGGCACATCCTGCGGACCAGCGGGGCTTGACCAGAGGCGACTTCAGTTGCTGTCCCCACCGCCTCGGCCGGGTCAGTCATGCCATGAAACCCCTTATGTCTGCGGGGTCCCCTGCTAGACGCAGGCCCCTCCAGGAGCTCTGGTGGACGCCCTTGTTGAGAACTTGCTGCTGCTTCCCCGTGACCTTGGCACAAATTTAACTTCTCCGGAGAAGAAGGTGTTTGCCCGACTAGTGAAAACGCATGCCTACAAGGGAGAGTAGATTTCATCTACTGCAAATCTTGAATTTACTGTCAAGGTCTGTAAAAGGAGAGCTTCTAGTGTAAAACAGTCTACCCGTTCAGTTTTAAGAGGAGCCCCGGTAACGTAGTGGGATACGTAGCGAACTACAGGGTTGGCGGTTCAAACCCACCCGCTGTTGGAGACAGGTGGAGGCGATTTGAAAGTCTCAGAGACCCAAAGGGCCAGTTCTACCCTGTCACTATGACCCAAAATTGACTTGGTGGCAGTGTGTTTTATAGTTTGGTTCCGTTTTAAAGTAAGTATAAATGGGAGGGTCCGTCAGAAAGTAGTGCTATAAAATCATAGCTTCAATCTTGCTTTAAAAAATGATGGAAGATAGCTCCTCGAACTAGTTGATCTGTACAATGCTCTGAACACCTATTAAGCCAAAAGCGTGCTAAAGGCAAGATGTTCACTTAACATTAAAAGTGTCAAACTGTGTGAAGTCCCAACTTCAGGAGCTATCAGATCAGTGGTCGTTCTATGATCACCTTATACAGGTGTCTCTACTTCAACCACAGTTTCTTCATTTGTCAAGGTTGACAGTCTTCCCTCTGTGGCTCATCTTTGAGGCGTTTCCCAACTTTCCCTGAACACACGATTCATCTAAAAACTGTTGTTTTATGTGTGGCAAAAATCCTAAAAACTTTTTTTTTTAACAGAGTGTCAATGATTTGGGAAGATGTGCAGTTCAGTTCTGTTAAAAATTTTATATTAACTCTGAGCTCAAATTTACCTGGGTTTTTGTTTGTTTTAAAAACACCCTAGTGTAACTTAGGGTGTTACTGTTAGGCTGCTAACTGTAGGGTCAGCAGTTGGAAACCAGACAGCAGAGACTTCCTACTCAGAGAGTGATAGCCTTACAAACTCATGGGGACAGTTCCACCATGTCTTGTAGGATTGCGGTAAGTCAGAATCGACTAGATGGCAGAGAGTTGAATTTTTATTTTTAAAAATGAGACGATACAAGTGTGTCTGCAGCCATCCACTCACTGATCACAGACACAGCTAACTGTGAAATGTATTTTCTTTGGAGTAAACCGGTGCACGTATGAACTGGAACACCAGTAACGATACTTTTTAATTTACCCTCAACTTAAAAAATACGGAGCCAGCTTAATGTCGGTGTACATCCTAGAAAAGGCAGGGCTCTTAGGCTAGAGTAATAGTCTTTACATTCAAGATAAAATTGCTAACAAGGATTTTAAGCCCCACCGAGGGTCCTCAGGAATGTTCTGTCAGGGAAGACTTGTAGTCATTGACAGAAAAAAAAAAA